TTAAATATTTCGTTTAATTGCTATAATTCAATTCATTTAATATAATTGTAAGTAAATGACTTTGTCGTTTATTATTATTCATCATTATTTCCATTTTTCTCAAAAAATTTTTCAGTCCATTTATAGTGGATCCTTTCAAATTTCGAATTCAGCCGAAGTTAACAAGTGGAATTGATCCGGAATAAAGATTACGGCATACAACCGGAGGAAACATTTCAGTATATACCGGAATAAAGATTTCAGTATATGAATTAAACACGAAATTTTTCTTGAGAAAAAATGCAAAAAGAGATACGAAAAAAAATTAGTCAAATCTCAGAATGTTGTTTCATGAGTGTCAAATTGTCGTAATTGTCATCAGAGATAAGGAGGGACCTTGAAGTTGTGACAGCAATAGGATAATTTCATGCATTTCTGATAATCGTTCAATACCTTTATTATATCGCAAATGAAACCAACCAATCAAAGTATTGTTGTATCTGAGATTTTTCGATAGGAGAAAGAGAGGAGAGAGAGAGAGAGATAAAAAGAGGAAAACAAAGAGTTCTGGAGAAATACCAAAAAACAGATTTTTGTTGAGCACAAAAGATGAATTGACTGCAAAAAGATTTATTGGAAAACTAGATTCTTCTACAATTCATAAGCAGATTCGAGATCTCTCGGTCTTCTTTCGTTTCCTGCCCATAGCAGCATCGTACTAGTTGAATATATGAATTGGAGTAAAATTTCTACGAGTACAGATGGACGATAGTGCTAGCAAAACAATACAGTTCATTTCATTTCAGTTAATATTTTCTCTGATCAATCAATATTTCTCTTGTCCATGCTAATATTATCATATTTCCTGAGCTTTCCAAGTGTCTTCTATTTGTTTTACTTTAATCACAATTCAATATTTCATTAATGATTTACTTTGTCTTATTGCCATTTATTTTATCGTTACATAAAAATAAATTATATTTGAATAGAAAAATTTTCAATTGTTTTGTTGAGTATTCCTATCAACAACTTCAATCGTATGGTCCCCCGTCATTCCGCGTATTTTCCAGTAATTGATTGAATAACGATCAAATGATTCGAATAAAGGAAGAATTTTAGGTTTGTGTTATAAATGGAATACACTGAATTCCATCCATTCGTTATTTTTAAAGTTGCCTTTATATTTTTTTTGTTGTTTCAAATTAATAGCTATACATATATAATATAGCCAATGTTTCAAAAAAAAAATTGAATTTTTGAAAAGGTAATTTAACTTATGCAATTTTGATAATTCAATTTCTGTTTGGATTTTAGATTACTTGTGCAATTCTGTTTTACATAATAAGTTGGATATCAAATGGATTAATTCGAAATAATAATGGAATGAATTTGAATTAGAAATAAAAGTAATGAGTAATGTGAATTCTTTTGAAAAAACAAACAAAAGTAACAGTGTTCGTCTCGAGTACTCTTTCCAGGTTAATTAAGATTGAAATATCTTATTGACAAGTGATTACTGAGAGAAATATTTCTAAAAGAAGAGAGATCATGAGCGATATAAGAATACAGGATTGATTGAAGTGGAGGTATTAAGTGAAGGAAGGATTGGGAAGTGTTTTAAACTCTTAATTCATAATGAGAGAATGGATCAACTTTATAAAAAATTGCAGAAATTCACGGATGTACCATTGTGCATACAGACTACGTGAATGAGAAGAACTAAAACAATCGTGATCGACGTGTTTCATCCATATTTTCCTTCTTCCGGAAGTTATTTTGAAATTTAACTTTGTGCTTTTTTCAAATTTGAAATGAATTCAAAAAAGAAATTCATCCATTTAATGAAATGGGAATCAATGTAAACTGTCTAGAAAGTGGAGGATATCGATATAAGTAGTGCAATTTCAAATATTTCAAATACTTATCATTATTTTGCATAGCTTTTAGCAATAGTTGACCAATTCCAAGAATGAATGTTTTAGTAAACTTTAATCAATCTATCAACTTATTTACTGATGTGAATAAGAGAAAGCAACAGTCTGTTTGATAGACTGATCTTTGAAAATGTGATATTTTACAAATAGTTTTATTAAGATATTAAATGAGGTGACAAAAGGACTTCAAGGAAACTGATTGCTCTTATCAGAGACATTATCAACCAATCTGTTATTACTTTATAAAAAATTGTAATTGGAATATACAATCAAACAGATTCACTCGTAACATTTGTTTATCCAATACTGCTCCAGTTGAAATATTCCAGTGAAAGGTGTAAAATGAAATGTAAATAAACGTTTCCTTTTTTTTTCTAGGACAATTTCAAAAGTTTCGTCTAACAAATTATTCTCAATGTTTCTCTGTTTAAACGTGGCATAATTGTTTAAAAAAATACATACAATGTCAGTTTGAAAATGTGAAATAGAAAAAGTAGAATTAACAGAAAGTATTTGCATTATTTGTTCAATGAAATTAATAAAATAGGAAGGGAAGATGATGATTTCGGGACTGATCATAATATCATTTAATATCAATATCATCATGGCTTAAAAGAACAAACCAGTCGTTAAAATTATCTTTTCACCGAAACATTTAGGGAACGTATAATATTTAAATAATATTCTAAAAACTATAAATAATATTTAGAAATCAGAGATAGAAATGAAAAATTTGCATTTGAAGCATTAAATTTTATTGATACTTCTGAAAAATAGGCTTTTTAAATAGCATTCTCATGGAAAATATCTGTTTACTGTCGGATTTACATCAATATTGTACAATTGAAAACCTGGTTGCATAGTACGATATGTCTAATTAAAACAGTAAAAGATATAGAAAAATGTAAAATTACTTGACACTTTGATGTTTTCTGTTTCTCCATGAAAACAACTTGTTATAACTAAGGAAGAATATGGTATATGAAATCTGTAATTAATCAAGGTAATGATCCTTTTTAAAAAGCAAAATTTAGAAATTGAAAAAAGTTGAACTGTTTCATTGATGCAATGATTCATGCTATTTAAAATTTGTCATATGATGACCTTTATGCAGGTTTTCAGTCTTTGTGGTCAATAATCAAACAGAACAGGATATCATGATTTATGCTGGCTAAAAAATATAAGAATTAGCTTATTTAACTTTTTTTTTGTATAGGATCCTTCTCTATCTTTTGAAATATAACCATGGCCTAGGATGTAACTCGAAGAAGAACGTAATTTGGAAAATTATGAGAATAATAAATTTCCTATTGTCATCTGCTGAGTTTTGTTTAATTTAACGTATCTTGACTGAAGATAGTTTTAACGTGGTACTTCCTATTTGCTTACGTAACATTTTAATGACATATTATTTTGTAGCTTACTTTTACTGTTAATCACTTGTTAACTCAATGAATCCTCAATGAGGCTTTTTGTGGTGAGATCAAATACTTTTCAGTGTGGTCTAATCGCCGTCTTCCTCAGAAATTCTCTAACTCTCCTTTGCTAAATTCCCTTGAGCAAAGCTATTTTCAAGATAGAAATTTTACCAGTAAATAATTCGAATCCCAAAAAAAAAATACCAGAAATTCATTATTAATATGGTTTCAAGTATTTGAACTTTCTTTGATCTAATAGCTGCGCAAAAACAAAAAGGCGCAATAGTCTCATCAAAGAGCGGAAATAAGAAAGTGAAATAATAATTCAAATTTGGTAATGAACTAACATTATTGGAAATATTATTTGTAAAAAGAAACAAATTCTAAATTATCCTCCATGTAAAGAATTATTGTTCATATAAAGTTATGGCAAATCGCGAAAATCTACATTTGATCTTTCTGATATTTGACCTTACAGAAACTATGAGCCAGTTTGAGGAACAGTTTCCTGAGGCCTATTTCATAAATAAAAGGAATAAATTCTGAAGCATTACTTATTGAATCATTCATTAACAGTAGTAGTAGAAGATGAAGAAAGCGGAAAGGGCCTTAAAAATACCCAAAAGTTTTCTCTCCAAGTTGTATCACAACATTTTCAAAATGAATAATTTTCAAGAAATAGGCAAAGTAAGCAAGCATAAATTGTAAAATGGAATAGGAAGAGAATTTGAAAAGCAACGGGGCGCATTTTGGGTCAGCAAATATCCCAACCATCTATCCATTCATCCAACATCGTCATCAACTTTGAATGTTGTAGAATGCAAGCGCAATGCTTTTGCCGCTGTTGCGGGCGTATCAGCTGTCCCTTCTCACTCTTCCGGATGATAATCATTACAGCATATCATCGACTACCTTCCACAACAAGCTATAGCATTCATTAACCATCTGTAATTTGCAGTACAACAATTCATTCATTATTCAAATGCTATGGGAAACTTTAAACTAGAATTTTGCACTAAACAATTGCAAGAATCGCTATACGCCTTTCTGTGTATTTAATCAAAAGGTCAAAGGGAAGTAGAACGAGCCATCATTTATTTGGTTATGAGACATTCATCTTCAAATTAGTCTAAGTGAAACAATCAATAGAACGAAGACAAGAAATCAAAATTCTGAAATATAGGAAATGATCGGATATGCTATATATAAGCTGATAAGGGACAATTTATACTGAGCTAAAAGATCAAATCATTTAGTGTTTGAAGTTAAAAAAACATGAATTGGATTGATAATGGAATAAAATTCAACAAGCATTTTATCCTTTCATTGATTAATGTCATCATTAAACCCTCTTGTCATGGGGAAGAAGCTTCCGTGCCCTTATGAGGTTGTGAGCTATGCTGGTGGTGGCAATTGCTATCGGTAGGACCTCCCATGCCAGACAGGTCTCAAATGCAGAGTCAAAGTGTGTTCACGGGCAAGATAGGGTCGTTAGCTTTCGCACAACCATCCTGGGAGAAGGACAATTCTGATGCCAAACGCGGGCAGATGGCCCTATAAGGCATCCATCTCAGAAGGATACTCTAACTAAACTTACATCCTAAGCATTTCGCTGCTACTGTCCAAACTCTCTAGGCCCTAACAGATGAACCTTAGGAGTGAAGGGTGGGAACAGTTCCGCGCACGCTATGCCTCACCTAAAAAATCCGCTGCACAGGCTCGAAGGATACACCTTAATTTTAAAAGTCCTGTAGTGACAGATGAGGGTCGAAATAGCAAGTGATAGGATGCACTGGAAGCCGCAGACCCAATCCTGAATGCAGTGGTTCAAGACATTGATTGCTCGACATTGATCCCGCAGATGACAGTCTTGTCCGGCAGCATGCATCCTGAACGACCAAACAGCCTTTTTCAAGGAGAGCACTGGTTACTCATACGGAGAGGGGCCCGGAAAAGGTAGCATAGCTAAATTTTTCCCCGGATCGCTAACTGCGACCAATAGGCATCTTCTGAGGTGGTCGAACAAAGACAAAAGGACAAAGGTATACACCCGCCTCCGAAGATGTAAACTAATTGACACTCGCGTGCTGGAACATCAGAACCATGCTTGATAATGCGAACAGTGGACATCCTGAGTGTCACTCTGCTCTAATCACTCACGAATTATCACAACTCAACATCGACACTGCTGTTTTTAGTAAAGTTCGTGTCCATAAGGACGGTAGCCTTAATGAATATGGTGCCGGTTACACGCTCTACTGGTCAGGAAAACCCAAAACCGGAAGTTACCTCACAGGAGTTGGCTTCATGGTTAAAACTCCATCGCCTTCAAACTGAAAATCTATCGACAGGTCATTCTGATCGTATTATCTCTCTACGCCTCTCATTACAAAGAGGAACAAGTTATTCTCTTCAGCATATATGTTTCCAACTCTGCGAGCTGACCGATCTAGCCTTATCCAAAAGTCCAATGATAAGGTCATAATCCTTGATGACTTCAACACTAGAGTTGGGAAGGATTCCGAAGTCTGGAAAAGTGCGTTAGGCAAGTATGGCATTGAAACGGACGAATTCTACTAGAGCTCTGTACAGAGCTGACAAACATTATCTTTCAGCAGAGAGACAGGTTGAAGATAATCTGAATGCATTCTCGATCTAAGGATTGGCATCTTATTGATTGTGTCTTAGTGCGTCGGAGAACGTTCACGATGTTT